AAACAAGTGTTTCTTGTGTGCCTACTATGTACCAAGCACTAGGGATGCAATGGTGAACCATATAGGCAAACCTCTACCTTCATGTGGCTTACATTCTAGCTGGAGGAGGGAGAAGGAGCAGAAGTACATATAAACAAATGAAGAAGAACCAATATGTGAGACGAGAGGACTGCCTGAGCCCAGGGACTAGCCTGGGCAACTTGGCAAGACCTTATCTCTACAATAAATAAATAAGTAAATTAGCCAGGTGTGGTGGCACACACCTATAGTTCCAGCTACTTGGAAGACTGAGGTGGAAGGATCACTTGAGCCCAGCAGGTAGAGGCTGTAGTGGCCATGAGTGTGCCACTGCACTCTAGCCTGGATGACAGAGTGAGACTTCTACTCAAAATAAAAAACAACAAAGAACCAAGATGATTACAGAGAGTGATAGTGACTAAAAAGACAGCTAAGCAGGTTGATGCATTATAGAGATGGAGGTGGCATTGAAGGCTACTTTAGATAGACTGATAAGGAAGTCCCTCCAAGGAGGAGACATTTAAACAAAATGTCAGAAAGGAGTCAGTCATTTAAAGATCTTGGAAAGACATTCCAAGCAAAGTGAATAGCATGTTCAAAGGCTAGGAGATGAGTTACTGTTTGGGGAGTTCGAGGAACAGAAAAAGGTCAGTCTAGGTAGAGATAGTAGTTAAATGGCAAACCACCTAACCAAACAAATTTTCTATTTTAAAAAGTTTAGATTTAGGTCAGGCATGGTTGCTCAATTTATCTTATGAACTGGAGGTAGAGTTGATAAATCAGATTATTTCTTTTTCTTTCTTTCTTTCTTTCTTTTTTTTTTGAGTTCAGTCTCACTCTGTCATCCAGGCTGGAGTGCAGTGGCACGCTCACGGTTACTGCAGCCTCGACCTGCTGGGCTCAGGCGATCCTTCCACCTCAGCCTTCCAAGTAGCTGGAACTACTACAGGCATGCACCACCACATCTGTCTGGGTGACAGAGTGAGACATGACTTTAAAAAAAAAAAAAGCCAGGCGTGGTGGCTCATTCCTGTAATCCCAGCACTTTGGGAGGTGGAATCGAGAGGATGGCTTCAGTCCATGGGTTTGAGACCAGCCTGGGCAACCTGGCAAGACCTCATCTTTACAATAAATTTAAAAATTAGCCAGGCGTGGTGGTGTGCACCTGTAGTTCCAGCTACTTGGAAGGCTGAGGGGGAAGGATCGCCTGAGTCCAATAGGTTGAAACTATGGTGGCCATCCAGTCTGGATGACAGAGTGAGACTCTGACTCAAAAAAAAAAAAAAAAAAGAAGTAGAAGACCCAATCAAGGATTTGGCGTAGGCAATGCATTTACAGGGAAAGAAGAGATTGGAAAATGAACATGTTTGGATTGGGAAGATGAATCTAGAGTTCTTCTTAGAATATGAAAATGTTGAGATATTGGATATTCAAATCAAGTATCAGGCAACTGGATATAAAGCCTAGGGCTCAGGGAGAGGTCAGAGCCAGAGATATATAATTGGGAGTCATCAGCATATAGATGGAATTGAAAGCCATGGAAATTGATGAGATCATTCTGGAAGAGGATATAGAAAAGAGAAGAGAGCTCAGGACTACCAACATTTAAAAATCGGAGAAAGAGGAGCTGGAAAAAGAGACAAAGATGAAGTGACCAGTGTCATGAAGGCCAAGAGAAGGAAATATTTAAGAAGGAGGGAGTAGAGGCTGAGGTGAGTGGATTGCCTGAGCCCGCTGGTTTGAGACCCGCCTGAGCAACTTGGCGAGGCCTCATCTCTACAATAAATTTTTTAAAAATTAGCCAGGTATGGTAGTGCGCGCCTGTAGTTCCAGCTGCTTGGAAAGCTGAGGTGGAAGGATCGCTGGAGCCCAGCAGGTTGAGGCTGCGGTGGCCGGGAGCAGCCAGTGCACTCCAGTCTGGGTGACAGAGTGAGACTCCTACTCAAAAAAAAGAACTCAGTAGGCCAGGCAGGGGATGATGTAGGGAAATTGGGCAGTACTAATGGGGTTCTAAAGAAATGCACAGATATTAGAACCATTCTGATATTGACAGGGTTGTGGGAGTGAGGGAGGTGATTATAGGGTTGTTACAGGTAAGGAGGAGGGTAGTAGTGCCACCAAGACTGGAAAGAGGGGTATAAGGAAAGGAAAATATTTTCCTTTTATATATAAAATTTATTATTTATATATATGTGTGTGTTTATATGTGTATATTTTATGAGACGGGATCTCACTATGTTTCCCAGACTGATCTTAACCTGCTGGGCTCAAGCATTCCTCCCAACTCAGCCTCCTGAGTAGCTTGGATCACAGGAATGTGCCACTGCACCCTTCTGGAACACGACTGATTTTTTTTTTTAAGTTTTCAAGTAAAGTTTATTTAGAAAGTAAATGAAAGAGAGAGATTCACCTCTCCAAGGTACGAGAGGCGGCCAAAGCTAAGAAAACATTGTGGTCATAGCTCAAAGAGCCACTTGGAGACACCAAAGTTTAACAAAGTAATGGGCCAATAGATTTTAATGTGCTGGCAAGACATTCATATAACAAAATGAAGCAGTTAAAAATTTAGACCTGGCCGGGCTCGGTGGCTCAGCCTGTAATCCCGTGCTTTGGGAGGCCAAGGTGAGTGGATTGCCTGAGCCCGCGGGTTC